TCCAAGATTTTGCCAGGCACAGAAGGGAGACTTAGTGGTCTGTAGTTCCCTGGGTCATCCATTTTCCTCTTCTTGAAAATGGGGGTTATATTGCCCTTTTTCCAGTCATTGGGAACTTCACCTGACTGCCATGATTTTTCAAATATAATGGCCAGTGGCTTAGCAAGTTCGTTTGCCAGCTCCTTCAGTGCTTGTGGATGGATTTCATCAGGTCCCATGGACTTGTGTACTTTCAGGTTCTTAAGATGGTCTTGCATCTCATCCTCTCCTACAGTGGGCCCTAGGTCTTCATTCTCACAGTCCCTGCATCTGCCTTTCAAGACTTGGGTGGTGTGGTCAGAGCATTTGCCAGTGAAGACCGAGGCAAAGAAGTCATTCAGAACCTCAGCCTTCTCCAAATCCTGTGTAGCCAGTTCTCCTCATAGCTTCTGGAGGGGACCTACATTGTCCCTAGTCTGTCTTTTATTCGCTCCGTGCCTATAGAATCCCTTCCTGTTACCTTTAACATTTCTAGCCAAGTTTAATTCTAACTGGGCCTTAGCTTTCCTAACCTGGTCCCTAGCTTCCCAGACAACATCCCTGTATTTTTCCCATGCCACTTGTCCTTGCTTCCCCCTTTTATAACCCTCTTTTTTCCTTCTAATTTTCCTCGGCAGCTCCTTATCCATCCAAGGAGGTCTCCTGGCCCTCCTTCTGCACTTCCCTCTAGTTGGGATGCAACACTCCTGAGCTTACAGTAGGTGATCCCTGAATATCAACCAACAGTCTTGGGCCACCCTGCCCTCTATGGCTATATCCCATGGAACCTTCCTAAGCAGGTTCCTGAAGAGGCCAAAGTCTGCTCTCTTGAAGTCCAGGGCAGTGAGCTTGTTGCACGTTCTTTACACTGTGCTGAGGATCTCGAATTCGACCATCTCATGATAGCTTCAATCAAGGCTGCCCTAGAGCATCATATTTCCTACCAGCCCTTCCCTGTTGGTGAACATGAGTCAAGCATGGCACCTCTCCCTGTCGGCTCCTCTAATACTTGCAGAAGGAAGTTGTCTTCCACACAATCGCAGAAACTCCGGTATTGCTTATGCCAGGCCGTACCATCCCTCTAGCAGATATCAGGGTGTTTGACTTTCCCCATGAGAGCAAGGGCCTGAGAGCATGAGGCTGTTCCTATCTGCCTGTGGAGTGCTTCATCCACAGAGTCCTCTTGATCAGGCAGTCTGCAACATATCCCCACAGTAGGACTCTGTAGCGCACAGTAGGACACTTTGGTCCTTAAATAATTAATAAAATGGGTAAAGGCTGCACTGGCCAACTCCACAATGACCAGGACCATCTCCTTTGCTCCTTCCCTGTCCCACAAGGAGTCAGTAATTGACCTGAGCAGTGCTCATGTTCTGCAGCTGGGAAGTGTCTATGGGGTTGGAATTCAGCCCTTCTCAGCAACGTCCTCCAGCGGTGCCCATCACAGGTGAGCCCATGCAAGAATCTGTTCCCCACGCGCAGCAAAGGCTGTGAGGGCAGCAGAAGATGTGGTGCCAGCAGCGTGTATCGAGGGCTCCCTGCTTCAGGAGGTATCTGCAACTGCTCCGCACCCTGAACTTTTGTGTACCCGTCTGCATTTGCACACACACCTCACGCATGCAGCAGCTCCCTCTGCACCCCGCTGCCGCTCTCCTGCTGGCAGCTCCCCTCCCTGCCCACTTGCAGGTTCCCACATGACAGTGCCAGCACATGACCCTGGCTCCAGCTGCAGCCACCAACATCTGGCATCCCAAACCAGCTCCAGCCCCAGACCCTCTTCCCACCGTACAGGATGGGGACCAAAAGACTCACTGGGAGAAAGGGACAGAAGGGGGTAAAAGGCTTGGTTTGGGCAGCAGGATCCAACAGGATGCCAGGTGCAGGCTGCTCCACACAATGACCTGAACCTGGGCACGCTGTGATTCTGTGATTCCATGACTGATTCCTTGTACGTGGCCATACTTGAGCAGCAGCTGGAGAACCCTTGGTCAGCTCTGGCACAGGCTGTGCCTGATGGCAGCACCAGCCCAGGTGCCCTGCAGCCACACAGAGGTCATAGTGAGTGCCCAGACCTTTGGTGCCTAGCCTGCACCCAGCCCTGCCCACAGCTGCAGAGAGACTGAAAGAGCGGCTCTGCCAGGGCAGGGAGCCCATATGAGGACAGTTGGGGTGCCCCAGCACCCAGTGCCAGCCCCCATGGCCCCTCCAGCCCTGGGAGCTCAGAGCAAGTAGAAACCACTTGTCTGCCACAGCCACGTGTGATCACAGTGAATACAGAGACTGGGTCAGAAAAATGTCAAGAAATGTATTTACAAAATAACAAAAATAAACAAAATAAACAACAAAGAACACTGGTCTTATAAAAAATACAACTCTTCTACCTAAAACTACAACTATACTACCTAAAAGTACAACTCTTATTCTTAAAACTACACCTAATCTATCTAAAACTAACACTCATGGAAAAACAAACAATCTTCTAAAACAACAACAATCTTCAGTGAGAACAGGAACTCTTCTAAAGCAAACTTCTTCAAACACTGCGTAAACTCCCATTTCCACCAGCCCTGGAAACAAGCAGCACAAGGTCATTTCAGTGAGGCTACTGATGGTCATTGTGGTTGCCACACGTGGAGGAGAGTGGGACACTGCCGCGGGGCTCAGCCCTGGCTGGGGTTGGGAGCTGGGGTCTACGCGATAAGACTGGGCTTGCGTGTCCCAAAGGCAGCACAGGGCAGCACGGTGGTGGCTCTTGTGCCGCCAGGATGAGGCCACCAGGCACCGTGTACCTGCAGTGGGGCCATCACACACAGCCCCAGCCCCAGTGTGACAGCAGTCAATCCCCCCGACTGCCAGCAGTGGATGAGGGGCATGTGCTGCCTTACCACTCATAAGTTCATATCCATTGCCTCCTCCTCCTCCACCTCCACATCCACCTCCATCGCCTCCTCCTCCTCCACCTCTGCGTCCACCTCCATCGGTTCCCCCTGCAGCCCCAATTGGGTCCTGCTGGCGGCCTCTTCCTCCAGCTCTCACATGTGTTGGAAAAGCCTAAGGCAAAAGCCAAGCAGAAGCGTGCATTGGTACTGCCCAGACCAGCGGAGCGCAGATGTGGGAGAGAGGTCTGGGCACCCTGGTCCCCTCTCGCTGCCTGGGCAGAGCCGTGGGGCATTGGAGACCTGGGCACATCCCCAGCAGGAGCTGGCGGGAGGCTGGGGGCTCCTTGTCAGGCAGCACCCACCAGCTCTGACAGGCTGGCGCCTGCAGCTGGAGGATCCTCTGCTTTCTTCACTTCAGCGCCTTGCGGGGCGGTAAGGGCTTCAGGACCTGCCAGAGCAGAGAGGGCAGGGGTGAGCAGCCATGCTCCCTGCCTGCGGGGCCAGGGCACAGACCCGGCCCTGTGCCTGCCTCAGCACCCACCAGTTCCTTACTCTGCGAAGGCAGCCCTTTGTGTTCTCGCCTCCGCAAGGGCTGAGCTCGGACACCAGCAGGACGAAGGTGGACATCTTTTGGGCCTGCATTTCAGATACCAAGGTGGTATCCAATCAGCAGGGAACAAGGAAATGGGACTGGGAACAAGTGGAAAGGGATGGGAGTGGAAAGGGCAGAAGGGCAGAACAGGAGTAGGGCAGAAGAGCAGAACAGGAGCAGTGCAGAAGGGACTGGTGTACACAGGTGGGAGCAGAGGAAAAGTGTGGGTTCAGGGGTGAAGGTCTGTGCTGTTGCCTGGGTACGGGCAGTTGCCGCTGTAATGCGGGCTGTGACATCACCCCAGAATTCCAGAACTGCTGCAAGCAGGGGATGGGGATGAGCCCTGAAGGGGCTGCAGTTCCATGGGGGACATTGGGCAATCGTTATGTGACCCCCTGAGATGACAGAGACACACTTTATAGAATCATAGAATAGTTAGGGTTGGAAAGGACCTTAAGATCATCAAGTTCCAACCCCCCTGCCATGGGCAGGGATACCTCACACTAAACCATATCACCCAAGTCTCTGTCCAACCTGGCCTTGAACACTGTCAGGGATGGAGCATTCACAACTTCCCTGGGAAACCCATTCCTGTGCCTCACCACCCTAACAGGAAAGAAATCCTTCTTTATATCCAATCTAAACTTCCCCTGTTTAAGTTTGACCCCGTTACCCCTTGTCCTATCCCTTTCTATTGTATCCCTTGTCCTATCCCTTTCTATTGTATCAGACTGTTCAGCTACCTGGGAAACATTGCTGTAAAAGGACAAAATTAGATTTTTACATAATGTGCAACAGAACCATAGAATTATGTAGTCTGGAAGGGACTTCTGAAGGTCCTCTGGGGGCACCCCATCTACCCCAAGTTGGACTGCTGTCATAGTCAATGAGGTTTCTCAGGGCTTTCTCCTGAAAATTTTCAAGGATGGAGACTCCAAAACCTGTCCATAATCCTGTGCCAGTGTATGGCCACTTTTGATGACTTTTTTTCTTAAATCTATTTGGGATTTCCCTTGTGACAGCCTCATTCTTTTATTGCATACCTCTTGAGAGTAGTTTGGCTCAGTCCCCCTTATCATCATCCATTAGGTAGTTGAAGACAATTGTATCGAACACAGTTCACACTAAGATATTTGGTAATTCACCACATTCATCAAGGATCTGACTATTGCAGAGGATTCAAATTTCTTATTAGAGTTTCCAGTCTTGATGCTTACATTCAAAGATTCTTTAAGAAAAAGGAAAAAAATGAAGAAAAAAACTGTAATCCATTAATAGGGTGACTGGACAAAAATAAACTCTCTGTTCATATTTGCTCTAGCTCATGTCTCTTCCTGGAGGCTTTTCTCATTTATATAATATAGTTAATCAATTCAGGATACTAGCTATACAAATTGTGAGTATGACTGTGACAAAATTGGAAAGACACAGTGAGCAGTATGGTGAATATGTGACTATTCTTATGTGACTATGAAAAAAAATGTTCCTTTTTATATTTTTCTTTTGATCTTCCAGACTATGTTTTTCAACACAGCAAGGTACTATTCTCAATTTTATGAAAAGGAGTATGTCTAGGACATTAAATGAAAATGTAAAGTAACTTTGGTACCTTTTAACTAGTAGTTTTTGTGTTAATATTCGCTAATATTCATTTTCTAAAGAATATCAACCTTCACCTTGGGCAAAGGAGTTGTAGTACTCCAAACATCTTTGTGTAAGCATTGGAAAATTACAGTTTGGATACTGATTTTTAATATACTTCAATTTGCTTCAGCCTAATGTCTGTAGGCAATTCATGATCGCTTTTTTTTTTGGTTTTGTTCATAATGTTTCTGTTAATATGCAAGTAAACATTCAAAATGAAATCAGAATCTATTAAGTGAATGTATTTGAATGATACCCTGTTAAGATACCTGCATAAAGAAATGCAGTCTGGGACTTCAGGACCTGATCATTTTCTGATAGATCTTGAATTATTTTAATTCTATTTTAATTCTGATCATCCCTATAACTCAAGATATAAGCTGTTCTGATTATAATAAATATATTCTTTCAGGTATAAAAGTAATGTTTAAAAACTCATTCATAAAATAAACATATAATGGTACATCTTTCTTTATTCATTCTTGAAAAGTGTAATTTTCCAAGATTTTCTGCATAATCCTTCAAACCCAAGTTCGTTTTTTTTTTTTTGTGCAGGTTATGAGGCATGAGGTGCTATCTTTGCTATTGGAAATTTTAGATCAAAAGAAATTTTATGTTATTTAGCATTTGTATTCTGGTAGTCAGACATGCCACAGTCAGAAGGACTGTGGGTGCTTGTCACTCTTCTCTCTGTCTTCTAAGAAGGAAGTGGAAGTCAGTCAAGCCATCTTCCAAGTGATAGCTAGACCACCGCAGGGAGCAGAATGGACAGTTTGCTCAAAATAAAAAAAAAGAAAAAAAAAAAGAAAAATATCTAATTTATAATTCTCTGGCTGGACTGAAGTAGCATGTATGTAGTGTGACATGAAGTCAGTGAAAATAGATCTGGGTTGCCCATTAAATTCTGTTGAACTGAAATTCATTAGATGATGAACAATTTTGTTGTAGAAAGGCTAAACTTTGTAGTTATCGCTCAGCTGGTGAAAATAAACAGTTTAATTTTGTCCAGTTATATCTTAAGAGATCACACATTTTTTGTTGGGGTATTTTTTGGTTTGGTTTGGTTTCTTTTATTTTAATGTGACACAAAGCTCCTAGAAATTGAAAATGTCTGCCTGATGCCATTTGAAGCTGACTTTCAGTACTCTGTGCTGGGTGTACTGCTGTCCTGGTTTAAACTCAGCCAGCAACTGAGCACACAGCACTGTACTAGCTACTAGGAAGAAAATTAACTCTACTGAAAACAGGACAACTTCTGACAGTATTTTACCTTCCAACAACACCATCTTGCAAAAAAAAAAAAAAAAAAAGCCTTTTTGGGTATAGCTTTATTTTGTTTTTTTTTTTTCTACAATTTGGAAAAAAACAACCACAACAAAACCAAAACAGGACAGTGGAGTATGACCCAGAAAAAGCTATAATACAATGTCCAGATGGACATTTTCTTCTCTGTTGTTTTTATGTTATGACCAGCAGGATGCAGGTCTGCTTGTTTGCCTGCCTTATGGCAAGTATGCTTTTGATTTTAGAATTTTCTGAAGTGGCACTTGGCTTGCTCTAACTTAGTTTTTGTTTGCCTATTTTTTAGTCTGACTGCTGAACTAAAAAAAAATTTACACAGTTCTTCTGATAGAATGATATATTCCCACAGTTAGTTGCACATATTCCCCTAAAGGAATGCAAAACCATTACACACTAAGATAATGAGATTAAAAATATATCTATTTCCTTATATTTAAAAAAAATACCATATTTCAGTTTGTATTTCAAGCAATTTGTACCCATGTCCTCTCATCCTGCCACTGGGCACCACTCAGAAGGGCCTGGCTCCACCTTCTTTAGTCTCCGCTAAGCTATTTATACAAACCAGTATGATTTCCCTGAGCCTTCTGTGCTGAAGACTGAATAGTCATAGTTCTCTCAGACTTTTCTTACTTGAGAGGTGTTTCAGTCCCTTCATCATCTTAGTAGCCCTTTGCTGCACTTACTCTGTTACATCCCTGCCTGTCTTGTGCTGGGGAGCCAAGAACTGAACAGTTAGAACACAGATGTGGTCTCAAAGACCTATATATTCTTTTATTTTCCCTCCCAAAGGACTAAATGCATATCTGATGATTGAACCAGGGACACCAAAAGGCTGAGGAGAGGAGAGAAAGGGAGGAATCCTACATATCTAATCAGTGGGCTTTTTTTTTGGACGACTGAACACTTTGCATGAAGGATATTTAGCTATTTTTTTATAAATACAGAGAAAATTTACGTGCACTCACTCCTAGATTTGATTAAAGCTTGGATTAGAACTTTAATGCACTGAAATGAACTAATGCAAAAGGTGAGCTTGCATAATATGACAGTAGTAGGTTTTCGCTCAGGAAAAAGTCAAAAGTACTGGAATATTTAAAAGACACAAGAAGACTGAGAGTTGTGAAAGAATATGAAGAAAGATTTTCCTTAACATAAGAACAGAAATAATAGGGCAATTTCAAACACAGGTGTCTGCTTACTTCATCTAAATGACAGTTTATATGCCGCTCTTACTTTTCAAAATTCTGATTAAACTGTTGAGTATTGAATTTGATCTGGCTGTAAGATTCTAACTTTGCTGTGTTAGTAGTGCTGTGCAGCAGGATACACATTGAGAATGCATGTCTGTAGGACAGATAGAAAGTGATCTAAACATTAGATGAGCCTTGGTAGCCAAAAGGTTTCTTCCTCATCAGGGAAGCCTGCTGGATTATCAATATTTTCAGTGGTGGAGAACATGCTTTCCTGCCAAGTACATACTAGCTAGTCTTCTGTTCACCAGACTCTTGCTATAAGAGGTTGTATTTCCATGTGCAATATTTGGGTTCAGACATGGAGTTTCCATTTTGAGTTTGAGATCTGTCTGTGCTTTCTGTCAGCAGCATGCCAGGGGCTTATGCCAGAATCATAGAATCATTGAATAGTTTGGGTTGTAAGGGACCTTCAAAGGTCACCTGTTCCACTTCCCTGCCTGCAATCAGCAGTGACATCTTGAACTAGATCAGGTTGCTCAGAACCACATCCAGCCTGGCCTTGTATGTCTTCATGGATGAGGCATCCACTGCTTCTCTAGGCAGCCCATGCCACTCTTTTACCACCCTCATTGTAAAGAATTTTTTCCTTGCATCCAGCTTCAATCTCCTCTCTTTTAGTTTAAAACCATTACCCCTTGTCCTGTCACAACAGGCCCTGATAAAAAGTCTCTTCTCATATTTCTTATAGGCCCCTTATAAGAACTGAAAGGCCACAATAAGGTCTCCCTGGAGTCTTCTCCTCTCCAGACTGAACAACCCCAGCTCTCTCAGCTTTCCTCACAGGAGAGGTGCTTCATTCTTCTGATCATTTGTGTGGCCCTCCTCTGGATCCTCTTCAACAGCTTTATCTCTTTCTTGTGCTGAGGACTCTGGAGCCAGAGGCAGTACTCCAGGTAAGGTCTCACCAGAACAGAGTAGAGGGGCAGAATCATTTCCTTCAACCTGATGGACATGCTTCTTTGGATGCAGCCCAAGATACGATTGACCTTCTGGGCTGCAAGTGTACACTGCTAGCTTATAGTGCAGTAAAGGTGCAGTAAACTACAGTGATTAGAGACTGATAATTATTCTTTCCTTCTGCTGAAAAAGGGGCTTTATTCTTTTCTCAGTCTATTGTTAGAGTCAGAAATAAATGTGTGACATTTGGGCAGAATGTATATACATACACCTGTTCCATTTGCTGCAGACCTTCTATAATATAGGTTTAATTCAGTGAACAGCCTGAGGCATTTGATTAAAATTCTGATGCTTACTTTTAAGTTCACATGCCAGATAGGTGAAATTTTTTGGGTGTGAATTCTGAAGATATTAGCATTAGTTGCTGGGATACTCTTGACTTCTAATGGGAGGTGGACCTCTGTTATACATGTGCTCTGTGTTGTCACAGCATTAATCATTTAATCTTAAAGTTACTAATAAAATAGTCAACTTGTCAATTAACCAATGGTGATAGAAAATATTCTTTTGGAAGTGTGGGTGAGATGACAAATTTATGAAACAGGTAGGTCTGCAAGAAAATAGGAGTGAACTAGTTTTATTTATCACAGATAAATGTTTCTCTTTCAGAGCTGGAGCAGTATACTACGAATGCAAGACCTTGGCTGGGCTACAGGATTTTAGGCAACAGGATCGAGATGTGGCTGAGGGTTTTTCCAGTTGGAAGCACTGTGATAAAACAGAAGGAGGGCAAACTAAACTGTAAATTCAGTCGTGCAGATGTGCTTTGGAAGTCAGAAGATGGCAGTCTTTACTCACTGCTGAAGTTACTGCATTGCTTGCCCTCATGATGTGAACACTTGAGAAGTTAATAAAATGAATATGTATCTTCCCCAGTATTTTTAGCTGTTAAATTTTAATTTGAAGTGCATCTTGATAATGCAAAAATAACAGCTTTTTATTTTTTTTTCTCAGAAGTCATTCATGATGATGGCAACGAAAACATCACTTAATATTCACTGATTCAAACATGAATGAAGAACATTTTTAGTGTAAAGAAAGTTCTAAAAGCTGTCTAAAACATCTAAAAAAAAGGCAAAGATGAGCATAGACAAATGTGTCCAACAGAAGGATTGACAGAGGCTGCTCAGCAATTGTGTGTGCCTGGAGGCACCTAAACCTCAGGATCTGATTGCATTCTGCTTCTGTTCTTGTCAAAAATCTCCTCATGTAAGCAATAAAGAATTTAATACCTTTTCAAGCTACACTGGGATCCAGAAATTAGAAAGAAATGGGTCACCATTCCCTAAGGCTTGATCCAATAGGTGAATGTTGAACATGCCTGGTATTCACAGTAGAGTCTGTAATGTTAGCTGCCTATCATAGCCAGCTGATCTGTGCATATCTATGGACAAATTTAGCCTTAAGTTGCCCTGACACTGAGGAAAACTGAGCTTTTATCTTACCTGTCCTACAGTGCAAAGCAAGGAGGTACAAGCAGCTCTACCCCTGCTGATTAAACTATCATCCATAGGATTTTTTGTCCTGGGCAACTTTCATAAGAAGCTTTAGAAAACTCTGATTGTGATGAAGCAAAATGCATACATTTCTTGCAACAAACTTTGGAAAGAAAGAAGCCGTCCTACCATCTGGCCTTATCCAGTAGGACATACAGACACGTACATTTTCTGACTGCCCTTCTGGCACAGAAATATTCAGTGCTTTCTTTGTAGATAGCAACACATATCCTACTCTTGACTAGTTGTCAGTTTCTCTTATAATGCAAAAGATTCAATTGGGAAGGAAATAGAATTTGGGTATCTTGTACTTCAGATGAAAGCCCTGACCATCAGGCTACCATAGCAACCTATATATATGTAGCTATATAAATATACAAATATTATATATAAATACATAATAAATAATATAATAATAAATATATGATGTATATAAAATATATATAAAATTATATATAAGCATATAAATATATTTTATACATTATATACATATATATGTATTCCTATATATATATATAGCCATACAAATATGGCTATATGAAACAAAACCTTTACTTTTTATGAAAGGGCTGAGTGTTTGGACAAGAGGGAACATGTGAGTGAGTCCCTTGCAGCAGACATATTATGTGCTGCCAGCACTTGTGATGCAGTGTTGGAGGGCTCCTTTTAGTCACAATTTTGTGTATGTATTGTGAATCTCACAGTATCCCCTTGAGGACACCATGGGTGAGCTTTAAATAGCTTCTTTCCTGGGGGAGTCAAGTCTGAAGAGATGCTTGACTTCATCTAGCACAGAACAGACATGTCAGAGACCCTTGCTTACAGCAGGAAAGCAAACTCTCCCACAGCCAGCTCTCCAAGTATGCGCCATGCATGCCTACAACCACCAGTGCAAGCCTCAGTGCTAGTCAGGACATGATGTGGCTGTGCAGTCCCGTGATCAGAGTAAGCCACATCGTATGCAACTTTGATCCTTCCTTCTTGTACTTCACCTATCAGTAACATATAAGTACCTGTCTTCCTGAAAACAATTGGTTTTCAGCTTTTTTTTTTTAAAAAAAGCATTTTTCTCTCTTTGTCCTGTCCATTTTGCACAATTATTATATTTTATTTTTTTTGTTCCTGACATATGTAAGTGCAAGCAGATAAGAGTACAGCCAAGCTCTTGGTTTTGCATTTCTGGCTGGCATCCAAGCAGTTGCAAACTTAGGTTTAAAAGGGTTTACATTTTAAAGGGTTGTTGATTCTCGTCCTAGTTAATGTGAACCAAATTTTTAATTTGTAAGCCCAGGTCTATAAAGACTTGATTACAAGCTTAGTTTTAAGTACAGGAAGACTTCTAAGTGAAATGGGCTAAACAGGTTTAACTAAACTTTTAGGCCTTCCTCAAGCTTATAGCCTCTGATTTGCAATGTATTGAATGAATAGCGATTAAAATTCAGCTCCATTGACTTCAGCAGAGACACACTAATTTTAATCAACGAAAAATCCCAGACATCAGATGTCTGGTTGGTTTTTTTTTAATCAGCGTAATATTAAGTATTAAGGAGTTTTCTATGCCTAATGTTGAGAAAATGAACAAGCATACCTTAGTTACATAAGTAATATTTTGATTATTAAAATTACCTATGTTAACTAATAATAGCACTATGGTTCTTATGCCACCTTAGCTTTGCTTGCAAATGAAAATAGAAAGATAATAACTTTAGGTTTGTTATTGCAAATTTGAAGTTAGGAAAGCACTACTTTCTTAACAGTCCTGTTAAGGTTTATTATCAACATCAGAAACGTTGTACCTAATGCTTTGTCCAAAGACATATACAGTGTCTCAGTTGTAAATATTAGGTAACAGCACTATCCTTTTTTTTTTTTTTTTTTTTTCTTTTTAAATCTAACTTGAACACAAAGAATCCAGGAAAACTCTGGTATTTGTTGAGCAAATATTTTAGAAAAAAAATAGGATAGCTATTTTTGAGATTTTTTTTTTTAACAGGGAAAGCTAAGATGTAATAGGCAACATTTTAAACCAGACGATTAGCAGCATAAAGGAAAAACAAAGAATGTTCAGTGGAAAATGTATGTTTAAGTATATTATTTTACTTTTTCTTAATATGTTTTATTGAAAACAGAAAACAAACAACAACAACAAAGCTCCCAGATTTGCCTGATTAGGTAGCCTAGTACCATATTGATAAACAGTGTATAAACATGGTGATAGGTCTGAGATTAGAGAGACTGATTTACCAGTTCATGGTTCACTCAGTCTTTATGCTGGTGAAACTCTAGTGATGTAACTGTTTTATTTAGAAGTGTTGTGTGTGTACTATGTGTTCAGGAGTTGTAAATTCCAAGGCTATTGCTTCATTTGAATTATTAACCTATCTTTTGAAACCTCTTACCACTCCCCCAAAAATATTCTTGTCTAATTTCAGAGAATGCCAAAGTGTAGAAATTTTAGAGAATAACTCTTCTTTTTTCTGGATGAATGTCAACTGAAAGACTGGTCTGCCAAGGACTCTGACACTTTCCATGTCTCTTAAGCCAATAGAGTAAGTTGAGATGGAAACTGCAGAGGAACTGGTTTCATACAGTGAGGGTTGGATGTTTTTTTAGGTTGTCTATGTATTTAACAGAAGAGTTTTCATTTATGAAAGATTATAATTGGACTAATAATGTCCAGTAAGACCCATGTTTTTCATCATTTTAATGAATGTTTCATGAAAGCTGCTCTTGCAATTATTTCTGAGCTTCTTTTAACAGGTATTTTTAATAAATTTACACATATTTTTGCACACAACATTAATTTTTAAAGTCTCACTTAGCACTTAAAGTTTCTTATGTGAGAAGAAAATTTTTGTCTAACTGCACACCTTCTGTGATAAATATGACAAAATAGATGAAGACAAAACACAGCTCTTCTTACTCATCAATGTAAAAAAATGGTTATACAATTCCTACAAGGTGATTTGTACGTAAATTCTTATTTGAGATTACCTAGTCCTACAAGGCAGGTCCTAAATCATTATTGTGACTTTGACCTACAGAAGTTACAGAGGCACAGAGCAGACAAGAGAGTGACTTTCAGGAGTGGTTCATAGGTTAATGATTTTCTCCAGTACCAGAGCCTGCATCTGCAAAATTCACATGCCATTTTGCATATACTCTTTAGGGTTCAGAGTTGGGTTAAAATTCAAATCTCTGTGTGAGAAGAGCAGTGAAACTCCAGGCAGGAGAAGGACAGAGACTGTTGCAATATTTAGCGGAAAAAAAAATGTTCAAAAATTTTACCAATCAGCTCAGCCAACATACATAAGGAAAGAAAGGTCAATAGACTGACAAAAAATCTGTCTTGTATTTGCAACAGAAGAATAGAGTACCCATTACAATAGCAATATTTTTGAATCAGTATTTACAGGTCTTAGCTTGTTCCAATGAAATAGCTTTGAAATTAAGTGCCACGATATGATATCTTAGTTCATTGCTTTAATTCCGTAAGTTATGTAACTTTTCCCCAAAGTGATTTAGAACATGTTTTAGAGCATAATTTAGAGGATTAAGCTCATTTGTCTAGTAACTACAGAAAGGCCACAATTTTCCCATTCATCTCTTCTATTGTATTGTATATTGATATATTTTGAATGGTCAATTGCTGAGGTGAGTAGCTCGAGAGAGGACGCCTTCAACACCGGAGGGGGGGGGAAGCTCAGCGTCCAGGAGCCTCAACTCAGAGCGACAAGAGCCACCGAGGGAGCCTCAAGTCCTCGACAGGACCTGCCCAGATCAGGGCTGACGAGAGCAGCTGACTCACACGGGGCGGAGCCTGAAGCAGCGGCACCAGCCCTGACTGGTTAAAAACCTGACCCAGGGAGCGCGGGCCACCAGGAGAGTGGCGAGGCAGTTTGTACGGGTAGGCAAGTGGGATGGTGATCACTCGTCGTATGATCAGGGCCCGGTCCCTGAGCTCTGCTCTGGCTGCCCTGGCGGTGGCCAGCGTAAGCACCCAGACAGCGTCGAGGAGAGGGGAGGCTGCAGTGCAGAGCTCAGAGTGTAGAGAGTGCCTGCACTGGTCTGGTGAGCGGAGGGTGCACAATGGGCAGGGCTGCACTCGGTGCTCCCTGGTGGAGGTCCTCCTGCAGCAAGTGGCTGAGCTGCGGGATGCTGTTAATAGGCTGCGAGATGTCAGGGAAGCTGAGAGGAAGCAGGAATGCTTGCCCCACGCCCAAACTGTGCAGGGGCCTCGAGCTTCACCTCTACCTCATGAAGGAAAGAAGGAGGCCGTTAACCTGGGAAGCTGGGAATTAGTGACAAAAAAGACAACAAAAAAAAAAGAAGGAAAAGGCCAACCAAAAGCAAGGGGCTTCCCCCTAAATCCCCT